GATGCAGATACGGGGACCCTTTTGGCCTTGGTTGCGGTGTTGAAGGCTCGCGCATCTAGCGCACTGCTTTCGCTCTCTCCACCGCTACCGCCGTCTCTCTCCAATCAAGTTTCCTTCTCCAACGCTTTCTCCAACGCCAACGCAATCTCAATCTCTACCTCTCTCTCTCGGCCTAACACGGCCGACTACCCACTGCCCCAACAGACGCCCAACACGGGCTTGCTGCACCCCGCGTAGTTTACCTTTCAAGTGTGTGATCGTACCCGGCGAAGTTCCAAAAATATTGAAACGCGGTGTTCCAACGATGCGGCCCCAGGGCTTGCACAAGTAATCCATATATTGATTGAACAGGATGATACAGCCATGTCAATTGCGAAATATCAAACAATATGTCAGCTTGCACTCAGAATGGCGCCTTCTGTGCAGCCCCTTCGTGTCGCTGTTCGGGAATCAAAGTCGAAAAATATTGTCCCAAAAAAGGGCATTTGATTTTGGCATTGTTTTTTGGCATTTTTTTTCAGCCCTCAATGGCATCTTCCGCGTCCTCACCCAGCCACTCATACGTCTGCTCCTCCACCCCATCCTCTATCTCATCCTCGGCCGTAGCCTCTTGGTACTCTGCCACTGGATACTCAAGGCTACCGATCGTACCGCTCAGGTTTCCACCATACAGGCCGATCCACTCGTCCATCTTGCCAATGGCATGCTGCACCAACTTTCCACAGTTGGCTGCCTTCCACCCCCCCTCCTGACCGTCCCATTCCGGGTCTCCATACCAACCGAGACGGATTTGCTTCCAGACATCCAACATGTTCCGCCCCTTCTCAAAATGAATGCTCACGTAATGCTTGCCGTGCTGCCAGAACAGCTCGATCGGCTGGAAAGTCGGCATGTACGGCGGTGTCCAAATTAACCCCCACCCAGCCCCACCCCTTCTCCCTCATGTACGTCTCAGCCTTTTCCTCGAGCTTTCGTGGAAAGTTCTTTTTGAAGTACGTCCGAGTGACGGAGGCTATCTCTTCTTTGCTGACGCCGTTCTTGCGGTTCGCATTGGGTA